CGCCCGCCACACCCGTTCAACCTAAAAGAAAGACATACATACATACATACATACATACATACATACATACATACATACATACATACATACATACATACATACATACATACATACATACATACATACATACATACATACATACATACGAGAGTGTGCGTGTGTGTGCGTGTGTGTGCGTGTGTGTGCTTGTGTTAGTGCCAAAGAGGATACGGATGCGATAGCTAGGGGGAACGTTGTGCTACATTCCCCACAGGGGGTACGCGGCACAGTCAAACCCGTTAGCTGTGCACCTAACCCGGAGGTGTGCCGGCGGGGCCACCCCCCTCCTAACCCCCTAACCCCCGAGCCCCCCACAGGGTTGGAAAGCAGCAAAACGGCCCCCAAACCCCCTCCACCCCCAACCCCGCATTCACCTCCTGCACCAGGGCCGCAGACGGCCGCACCACCTCCTCCGCACACCCCGCTCCCGCCGCCACAGCTGGCGCAGGAACCTCCCCGGTTGAATGCAAATCCAGACCCTCTGTCGTACAGAATCGCCGTACGGAAACTGCCAGTGACGATGCCACACCGGTCGCTGCCGCCGTCGCTGCCAGGCAGCTGCCGCCGCCGCCGCTGCCTGCGGACACCGGCGCCGGGCTCCACGAGCATCCTGTGGGACTTCCAAATGATGGCAGCGCCGAATGCACCAATGCGCCGCCGCCGCCGCCGCCGCCAAGGAACGGCCTCGACTGCAGTCGCTCCCGCTGTGACAGTGCCAGAGCCAGTGCTAGCCGGCTGCTCGGCCGAACAGCAGGTCCGCCGCCACCGCTGCCGCCATTGCCGCCGGCGGCGGTGTTTATGGATATGGTGTCGCCCGCACTGGCACTGCTCTGGTGCCGTTGGTGATCATGAGAGGGAGAAGAGGGCGAAGGAGGGCACCTGGCGGCGGCGGCACCGACGAAGCCGACGCCACGCAGTCGGCGTGCGACGGCCGCCAGCTTGCTTGTACTGCCGCTGCCGCTGCCACTGCCGTGCAACCAGCTGGGAGCTGCAGCTGCCGTGGCCGACAGCGCAGAGGTCGCCACCGATGCCACCCCCCCCGGCGGCGGCAGCGGCCCCAACAGTATCGGAGCACCGCAGGAAGCGCAGACACCGCCGCCGCCGCTGCCGCTGCCGCTGATGGCGGTGATTGACAGCCGGCGGCGATGGCTGCTTTGCGATCCGTCCGGCGGCCTCTGCTGAAGAGCGCAGGAGGGAAACGGCGGCAGCGGCGGTAGCGCCACCGCTGCCAAAGTCGTCGACCGTACGGCATCGTCGTATCCAGCCGAAGATCTCAACAGTGCGCTGCCCGAAGCATAGGCAGGTGCAGGAGGGGAGTACATGACACTAGCGGGCTGGGATGCGGCCCGCGGAGTTGGTGTCGTACCAGAGCCAGATACGACAGCCGTCGCGCCGCCGCCGCCGCCGCCGCCGGATGTAGAGGCTACCTCCACGGTCGCTGCATTGCCGCCGCCATCCGCCGGGCCCCCTTCCTCCTCCCCGTCACAGCCGCCGCCGCCGCCGCCAAAGTCGCCGACGCAGCCGCCCCCCGGCGGCGCTGTCATGACGTCAGCCAGGGGGTTAAGTGTCGTACACGCAGCCCTTGCAAGTAGCGGCGGGCCGCGAACCAGCAGCGGGCATGAGTGCGCGTTGGCGGCTGCTGACGGCACGGCAACACTAGCAGCGGTAGCGCCGCCGCCGCCGCTGCTACACCCAACCGCTGCCACAGCAGCGCCGCCGCCGCCGCCACTGTACGGCCCCCTCATAACATAAGCTTGGGCCGGCGGCGGCGGCGGCGGTGAGTCCGGTGGCAACGCCTCGGGCGACAGCACAAATGCAAGGGCGCCGGCGAGCGTGTCGACGTCGTACGACGTGGTGCTGGCCGTGATGACGGAGGCCCGGGCGTCGTCGGCGGTGCCGCCGCCGCCGCCGCCACCGAAGTGGCTGATCAGTTGCTGCCGGGATGAGGCGAAGGAGTTTTTGCGTCCTCCCACCAGCTGCTGCATCAGCGCCTGCGCTACCTCCGACTGGAGCGGGAGGGTGGGGGGTGCGGGGTGTGAGGGGGCCGGGGGTGAGGTGGGGAAGAGACGAACCCCACGAGCGAGTGAAGGTGGTGCCAGAAGGAAAGACTGATGCGCCAGAAGTAAAGAACGCATAACGAACCAGTCGGCGGTTGTGAAGAAGCAGTCCTCGGGATGATGTAGTCACGACGATAGCCGAAATAAACCTACCTACCTAGCCGCCAAGGCTAAACAAAGAGCGAAAAGACAGCAAGAAAATCATCCATAATATTCTAAACCCTAAGGCAGGTTTAAAGGCGGCGAAAGAGCAAAAAACTGACGTGAGTAGAAGAGGACGAGGTGACGTAAGCTGGAATAAATTTGCTCGCCGGCCCGTGCCGGCGGAACTGACTAACCCGGACAAAGCTGGCTGATAAGCAGGTTTTAACTAAGCTGCTGGTGACGTGCAAGTGCTCCTCCCAGGGCCCCAAACACACGCGCCCGACCCGACCGACCCGACTATCCTACTCCTGTGAGGTGCGGGGCAACTTTAACGACACTCTCCCCCCCCCCCTCGCGCCCCCCCCCCCAAGGGGGCCACCCGGAGGTACCTACAGAGGTACCTACATCTAGGTCGGCCGCCTTGATCTGGCTCCGTACATTGAGCGGAGTAAAGAGATCAAAGTTCCGGAGCAGTGCCGTACGTATTAACACCACGTCATGCAGTTTTGGCGGGAGGCCCACCAGCAGATCGCCCATCATGTTGAGCAGCAGGTCGGCCGGGGTCTCTGCGGTCGCCAGTAAAGGAGGGACAGAGGCGGGAAAAAGAGCGTTGAAGAATATCTCAGGGATTGTGAAAAGCCGTATGTATGTCCATAACGGCAAAATTGGGGACCCGGTCGGAGCGCCTCCCGTGCGAGGTGGGGGGTGGGGGGGTGGGTAGCAGTCCCACCTGGCCCCCCACGTGTTTCCCTGTACGGCAGGACGACCGGACAAAGCGCACAACAACATCGCCATCGTCATCGTCGTCATGCCGTAATCCCCCTCCGCAGGACTCCGGACCGAACCGGACCTGACCTGGCCCACCTGTCTGCCGTATTTTCGTACATGTGTACAGCGGCGATGTCGTATCATGGTGCCTCAAGTCCTGGATGATCTGCTCGGGCACCAACGCTTCGAGAAGCATCTGATGACGCCGCCTGCGGGGGGGGAGGGGGAGAGACACAGACACAGGCACAGACATACCGACAAACAAAGAACAATGGTCACTAGTTAGAGCAGTACGGCAGAAGGTACTGCTAAAGGTGATTTTATACAGTGATTTTACGAGAAGCTGGATTTTTTGAGGGGCCCTTTTGCGGCCTGCACTTGGCAACAGCTATTAATTACCTGTAGCAGCACACACACCCAGTAGTTCGTCCGTATGTCACCACGACAGCGCCGGAACCTGATTCTCAATATTTCCCTTTCAGACGCCGCCATTCCCTCCCCGCCCCCTTTGGTTTTTACCGTCACCTCCCTCACACCAACGTCAGCACCACATTCCGCTCGACTTCCATCATTTCGCACACAAGTGCATTCACTCCCGCCCTCCAGAGCTTTGGTTGAACCCACCATCACCCATCAT